CTACCTTAGTGTATAGACCTGAGATGTGGACAACGCAGAGGAGACACCTCAAGTCACTGGAGAAGCACCATTAATGCTGCTTGTGGAAGATCCTTCAAATTCAGTGGGAGGACAGGCACACCATTAGTGTCCTCTTGCAAGGAAACACTATGAGCATCAAGGCGATAATCATCTGACATCAACTTTGTTGGGCTAGCCATGTCATCTGGATGTCCGACTCTAGACTCCTGAAGCATGTTTTATTCTATCAGCTCAATCAAGGTGTATGCTCAAGAGAAGGGTGGAGAAAGCACTTTCAAGGACGTTCTCAAGGCCAACTTGAAAAAATGTAACATCAAAATGAACTCATGGGAGACTATCATTCAGGACTGCCCCAAATGGAGGAAGATCTGCTGCAAGGATCTCAATACTTGGAAACCTCACGATGACAATAGGAGACAGAAAAATGGGAACAGCAGAAGCAGCATGTCGCAGATTGAACCAAGGATCCAATGCCACCCACACCGCACAGAAACACATGCCTGAGTTGCAGTAGAACCTGTTGATATCAGATCGACCTCGTCACCCATCTTTGGACTCACAGATAAGGCAATCATGGAAGACAATCGTCCTTGACTGCAAGGGATTGCTGCTGCTGGTGGTGGTGGTTTAAGTGTTCAGGAACTGTGGAATCAAAGCAGTAAGAACCACATCCCACCTGGCTATGCTTCACCACAAGGCTGCCCAGCAAGTTCCTCCTATTGGTCCAGATGCTGGGACATCTTCTCAACTACAGGGATGGGTGGGGGGTCTTTCATAACGTATTGCATAGAAATAGGCTGTCAGAGTGTCACTGGACAAGGTTGAACCTGAGTCTTGCGGCTGCACAAGTCACCGGTGGCTTTACTCTTTTTCAGTCGTTTAGGCCCTAAATTTTCAGGCAGACTGCGAAGTTCTGAGTGTCCTTGGTGCAGCTGTGTTTCAGGGTGTGCCACACCTCACAGGATCACACCCTTCCTTGGCATTCTCACGGGGAACTAAGGAAAGCTTCAGTAGCTATTATCCCTCTCTCCTAGGCATCATCCTGCCCTGGGCACAATACCAGTTATCACTGAAGCCCAGCAAGATTCCTTCTGAATAAACACAATTTCAGGCATTTGGATATTTGCCCTGGTGCACACAGTTGTTTTCCTGGATAATACTGCAGGTAGAGAGAGAGGTCAGGCAGAAGACATGATGGTAGATTTGCACCTTACGGCTTGACTAAATCAGAGATATATAGCATAAACTTTCGTGAGCCTGAGCTCACTTCATCAGATACTGTGATAAGGTGAGTTTGGGCTCACGAAAGCTGCCGCTAGACATCTCCGATTTAGTTCGTCTATAAGGTGCAAATCTACCCCGACTTTCTGACTGTGGTAGAGGTTGAGTCGCAGACACTGTTGGTGTGAAGTACTTGACAAGTTCCAACGAGAGATCTGCGCCATTATGGAAGTGGTATTGGGCCAGCAAACTCTTTGATTGCAATCAGTTTGTTGGCAAGGGTCCTGGAAACTCAGAACAAAAATGCTTTGAACAGGCCAGATGCATGAGGTGTGTCCCTGAGTCTGCGGGGAGTGGAGCAGTGACTCATGGCATTATCACGTAATGCTCAGCCTGTGTGAAAGCAGCTACCAGCACCTTCACTTTGCACCCTGTCCAAATCTAACTAGGTGCTGCATTCACACTCTATACTTCCACGGCTCATGTTCTAAACTCTGGGCTGCTTTAGTTTTCCTACCTTCTTGCTGCCCTAGTGAACTGCATGCTTTAGCCCAGGAGAGCTGATGGGGATTTTACACAATGGTGTCTGCATATGCATGGGTTTTGACTTGCCTGTCATTCTGGTACTATATCAGGGCTGGATTGCTGCACTTTCAGCACAGTCTAGCAAGTGCTATGTCTCCTTTCCAGGGTGTGTAAATTGTACCTTTAATCCTGGGTGGAACTGCCAATTGTTGGGAAGATGCAAAAACACGTCTTTGTTGAGGCCTTCACATGAAGTGCAGGACTTGGATGAGCTGGGTTCTTTTCAGAAAGACTCTTGAAATGTCACTTCTTGAGCAAGGTGCTGAGGTGCTATAAATTACCCCCGAGAGCCTCTGGCCTTTCATCTTTTCTAAAACTTTCCTAATTTGTCTTCTCACAGTTCAACAGCCCTGCTCAGCTATTTTGTGCTGGTTATGAAATGCAGTTGACGTCTCAATGTAATATTGGTATTATAGTTCGGCGAATTATCGGGACTGTGTTAGTCCATTAAGTATTTTCTATTCTGTCCTATGAGACAGTTTGGGCCTATGCAAAACCACATTTGGTTTTCAAGGTCAGTTCTCAACATTGCTCAGAACCCACCTGGCACTGAAATCTTAAGTGCAGAATTATTTGGCAGTAATTGTCACCCATCAACTGATACAAGAGAATAGCTCCAGTTTATTTCTCTTTCATTCTGTAGCTGCATGTGGAAGCTCACAGACTGCCATGGCACTGGGTAGAAAGGTGCAGAGGGCAGGCATAGAAACTTCTTTCATATATTTAAGTGGTTTCACCCCAATCCTGTGTTACAGAACCCCATGACATTCCTGTTGGCTTCCATCAACAGGTCTGCTGAAGTTCCCCGGAACTGATGTTCAGCCCTCTGTATCCCACCCATAGACCTCTGCAATGTTCCCCAGTCCTGACATGGAAGTGCCCCTTTCCTTCTTCCTGCTTCCAGTCCTGAGCCATCACGTGACTGCAGATCCAACACTTTTCAACCTGAAGCCACCTCCTTCTGTTTTTCTCCTGGGCTCCTTTTTAGCACAGAGAGCCTGTAGTGCCTGCTTTGGTGGTACAGTGGACAAGTGTCTCCTATGCAGCAAGAAAAGAGGGAATGGTGCAAATTGTTCATTGCTGCATTGGAACTGCTGCCAGCATTAAAATTGCTGTGTTTTCTTGTGGCTTTTACACCGATCTCATCCCTGCAAAGAAATTCATCTTTGCAGTCAAATAACTGTTTTGGCAAATGTTTGCATGCTTTGAGGGAGATATGGAAACAAGAAGCATGAATCATAGCAGTTATCATGTTTCCTCATACTTCTGTATGAACAAACCCATCAGCACCCCCTAATTTGTGACTTGAGATAACACTTCAGGCCTGGGGACTTGATCCTTTGCACCACTGAGACTCATTGGCCGCATCCAGACGAGCATGGCCGTGCACTATGTGGCACCACAGACATGTCACATTCAGTTGTTCTCCCTGCTGTAAAGGAGCAGCACGGAGGGTTTTTCTGACCTCTGGATGGTCATAAAAACTCATGGAAAATAAAATGGAGTGGCATATGTGGCAGCAGCATGCACCACCAAAGCCAGAGCCTGGCCAGCTGGAGATGCACTCAGCTGTTGGCCAGGCTCTGTGCAGCAGGATTGCCGCTATTGCAGCTCTGGGAGGCCCCAGAACCCCAGGTAAGGCTGCTGGGGCCAGCCCGGTGCTGGCCCCAGCCTCCCCTACCTGATCCGGGGTAACTTGCCACTCATCAGAGCACACGTGGCACAGGCATTCCCCAGGGACAACTAGCGGTGGCACAAGGTGCAGTGCCGCTAGTTGTCCCTGGGAAGCCAAATGTTCATGCACGTCTGGACACGGCCATTAAGGGGAAGCTTCAGTAGAAGGCCTGTAACTCCTCTGCATCATTTATGATCTCTGTACAGAAATGCAGCTTGTTCCTTCTGATGCTTGTTCATCTAAATACACCTGTATTTATATACCTATCACCTGTACCTCTGCCTACAGATATCCTGATAAATGCCCCAGCTATGGACTTGTTCCTGCTCCTGCATCCCCACCGCTCTATTTTTGTAGTCTTTTTCCTACATCTGCCTTTTGCTTTAATAGGCCTCCCTGAAAATTTGGTCCTAACTTTTTTTTTTCTGATAGAAACCTGGGTTTGCACAAAAAATAAGTACCTGTGTAGAACGTATTCGTTATCTTCTAAGTATGCATATTTATAGGAAAATCAACCTCAACGCTGAAAGTTTTGGGCTAACATTGGCACATTTCTGAGTGTTTGGAAGTTTTGGTTTAAATATTTTCAGTTTTGGTGTTTCTGTTAAAAAGGCAACATTTTTTCACTCCACCCCTCACTTTCCAACAAGCTCTGCTATTTATGCTGCAACCATGCCTGCGTTTCATACCTGTTTTAGATTTTCTTAGTAAGGAACTATAGTGTTACCCCTTCGGGAGAGATTTCTGGGAGTTTGTCCTTTAAGTATATGGATCAAAGAGCACAAGCAGACTCTGGTAGATGGTCTCTGTGGAGTGAGCTTGCAAGAGTGCTTCGATATTGAGCGCTATTGGGGCGATGTCAGTGTTACCAATGTGCCCACCGGCCATACTATGCTATGCGTGGCACATACATGGAGTGGGACGCATTCCCTGTCTCAGTGAGACAAAGCAGTGTTATTATTATTCCCTCCAAGGAGCGCTCCATCAGAGTGGGAATGACTTGGGGTCTGTGGCAGAGGTGAGCTCAGCTTTTCTTAGGCCTAAATTTAACGCTTCACTCTCAGAACATTTTTCCTTTAGATCTCCTGAGTCCCTGACACTGGTACTGGATTTTGATCCAGCTTAGCCATGGGGGGGAAAAAAATCAAAACAAAAGGCAGAGTGAGCTGGCTGGTGAGGAAGGGTCATTGCTGGGGGTCATTGCTGGAGGGCATGCTGGGGGTGAGGAAGGATCATTGCTGGGGGGATTTGCCCGTTAGAGTAGGGATTCCTACTTAATCACACAAGCAACAGCTGTGAATTTGTAAAGGGGACTTGGAAAGAATCGCTGAAGAGGAAGCCGTCCCGAGCCTGCTTGCCTCTCTCCTCCCATGCCCCAGCCTTTTTCCACCCCATCGCCCTGCTCTCCCTCCTCTATTGCCTGCTGCATTGATGTGATGAGTTTGGGAGAGCGCAGTCACGCCGAGAGCAGCACTCAACCTGCCTGCCCTGCAGCACCTGCGCTGGGAAGGCTGTGCTCCGAGTGCTGCAGCAGAGTGGGTGTGTGCAGGCAGGGCTGTATATCCAGTCTGACGGAGGGCGTGTCGGCTCACACACCAGAGCGGAGCCCAGGGAAGGAGCACTGAGAAGCCAGCGGCACAGGGACGCATGGCAAGGGGCACTTCTTGAGATTAAACCCAGAACTCCAGTTGTTACTGCTGTCTTGTCCGAAGTGCAGTCTAGTGAAGTTCAGCCCCCCAATTCTATTTGCCACCATGCTTCACTCGCCGCTGAAAACAGCTCTGGCTTATGAGTGTTTCCAAGACCAGGCTAGTTCCACCCTGGCCTTACCCTCGGATCACAAGCTGAAAACTAAGGGCACTGGAAAGCAGAGGGTCCAGGAGCAGGTGATGATGACAGTGAAGCGTCAGAAGCAAAAGTCCTTGTCATCCAGCATGAGCCACTCCAACCGAGGTAAAATCCCATCCACTGCGTCCGGTCAGTAAGGCAGTAAGGGGTTTGCATACCTCTCTTGGAGCTAAATCAGAGCTACTGTGATTTTATCTTGGGGGCAGGGGGTTGGGTAATGAGGCTACCTGGTTTTGTAGTGTTTTGTTTGCAGGAGATAAGCTGCCTGGTTTCTGTGGAGTTGCCTGCTGGGATAACTCTGTCCAGGAGGAGTTTGCCAGGGAATGTGTGCACCCCCCTGGAAGGTCTAGGGCAGGATTCAGGACACTAGGACTCTGCTGTTGGGTGATGCTGAGCAAGTGGGTTTCATCTCTGTGTACTTCAGTTTCCTGCTCTGGAAAGTGGAGATAACATGGACCGCTGGGGATGTTCTAGGACTGCCTGAGTGCACGTCCACAGAGTGCTTTGAAGGCTTCAGATGGACAGTGCAGTGCATTGTTAGCTGTTCATCCTCTGGCTCTAAATTTTGAATGGTTTCTCAGCCAGTAATATCTTCTCCAGTCTTTCCTCTGCATGGCTGCCTGCAGACTGGAGCGTTTGCTGACATAGCTTAGAAACTGCTGTTTAGTGTGACTATAGCTGTGTGTCTTCCCCCACCTCTATTCTCTACTAGGAACATTGGCCATTAACTGCACCTTCTTATAAAGTCCCCAGCAAGCTAAGGACAGACATGTTCTGCCTTTATATAGGGCACAGTCTGGCAGGCCAGCAATACTAAGGAGGTTAAAGTAGCACAGAACAGACCCTTCATAAGTTATGGGAAATGTTCTCTATAGATAAATAGGTTCCATCTAAGCGGAGTCCTGGAAGACACATTTGTTAGTACCTAGAGGAGATGAAGGAGGAATCAGCATGCACTGCATCGCTAAATAGTTGAAAAATGAAGAGGATGTTCATCTCCTGTTGTTACTTGGCACCTTAGATAAAAGTGCTTTAGGAGCTTAACTTGGACACCAGGACATAGAGGAGTCCATGGTTATGCCGAGATTCCACAGCGGCTATAGAAGTGGGATGGGGAGCCTAAGCTTGATGAGCTGAACTACAGTTTCATTCTTCCTTTGTGAAGTAGAGATTGCTAAGTACCTCCTTCAGTGTTGTTCTTGGGGGATCTGTAGCAATTCTGCAGTAGTAAACTTCAGAACCAAACGCTAGCTTTCCCTGGTAGCGCAGCCATGGTCCGTAGGGAAGGGCACAGTAGCAAAATTGCCTGTCTCTATCATCAGTTGGGCCTTGTTCATCTCCAGCTGTGCAGAGTTTTCCAAGCCATGTTGCACTCACAGGGAGCATGAATGCCCATGTCTTTATGGTCTGCATTTCCCTCCTGTTGTTAGAGCCGCGCAGCTAGAATGAGCTCTCTCCAGCAATGTTCTGTTGTGCCTGGGGTAGGAGGATAGTTGGAAAGGAGTTATCAGGATGTGGACGAGTGAGCAGGATGAGATGTAGGAAGAGATTTGTGTCCTCTTGGTTCTCAAAGACTGCAACAAACTTTGCACGGTCGGTGACTGTCTCTTACGGGAATCTCAAGCGTGACATTTGTAAGAAGAACCCATTGTTAGAGGGAGAAAATATCACGGTGGCTCATACAAGTGTTTTAAACTAATGATTCCCAATCTTGGGGTTGCAAAGATAAAAAATGGGGTTGTGTGTTCCCAGGGAGGGAAGCGTTGGGGGGGGGGGGGCATGTGCTCCTCCAGATTTATGCGCAGGATTGGGGTGGACACAGGTTGCCCACTGTGGGCTTAGGGCTCCCCACCCTGCTACCCTCCCCTTGGGGCCTCTGCAGCACAGCAGGGTGGGGAGGCTTGGTGCCAATGCTGGGAACCCCATGCCAGCTGTGCCGCCATGTCGAGGTGCCCCCTGCCCACCTGGCAGCAGCAGGGGATACAACTCCGCATTGCTGCCGCTGCTGCCAGATGGGCAGGGGGCACCTTGCCATGGTGACGTGGCCCATATGGGGCTCCCTCCTGCACCAGGTCCTGCCCGCTGGGCTGCAGAGGCTCCAGGGAGAAGGCAGCATGGCAGGGAGCCCTGAGCCCACAGCGGGCAGCCCACATCCTCCATCCCCCACATGGGCTCCACTTCAGCCGTGCCACCCATGGGGAGAGGGGGCAGGTCAGGGGAGCTGGGATCTGTGCTCTGCTCTGGCCGCAGCAGCCAGCATATCCCACAGGTGGCAGCTGGAGCTCTTGTAGTTTGGGCCCCCCTTCGACAGGGCTGGGGGTGGCAGGGGGCTGCAGGTTGCAAGTGATGGGCACCAGCAGGGCAAGAGTTACAAACAGGTTTCCTGGGGAGTGGGGAACTGTGGGTGGGGAGTGAGGGACAGTGGCAGGGCCGGGGGGCTGTGGGTGGGGAGTGAGGGGCACCTGGGGATGTGGGGAGCTGTGGGTTGGAAGTGAGGGGCCATGCTGGGGAAATGGGGTCATGCAGAGGAAAGGTTTGGGGAGCATTGTTTCAAACTGTCCTCTGAAGGAGAGTAGGGGTATCTCATGGATTCTGGGGTAGGAATCAAGATAAAATTCGTACAATACCTCCTGACTTCATCTGCATTACTAACACGCTATATGATCGACATAGCGTGATGTGGAGAGTGCATGAGCCATAATCCATGGTTTGCCAGGACATTAGTGTGACTCTCCAGCTCTTGTGATAGTGCCTGCAAGAGACTGAGATGGCAAGGCTTGGAAAGTGAACAGGACACAGGAAGCCTGTTTGTAAATCGTGTCCTATTTTCTGTTATTTCTACTGCTAACCTATGGCTCATAGGTCAGATTTGGACCATGGAGTCATTTTATCTGGCCTGCAGCATTGGGTTGGTTTTGTTACATTTTAGTAGTAGGGGAACTTAGTATTGTTTCAATGGTGGGGGGGCTTTGCAGCAGGGGACTCCTGGCATGGGCCAGGTTGGAAGTGGCCCATGCTTGGACCTAATGTGGCATTAAAGTGGCCCCCTGCTCCAAAATGTTGCTGACCTCTGGCTTAAGTCGTGGCTGGAGGGGTCATGGAGGGGATCAGGACTGGACTTTGAAATCACAGCCCAAAATATAACATTAGCAAGGAATAATGCTTTAATTCCATATTTCCAGCCCTTTTGATGGGTTTGACCCTGTGCCTGCTGAAGCCAGGAACAAAGCTTCTAGTGATTCCAGTGGTTTTATATTGGATTCTGTTTACATGTGGGTGCGTGTCTGTGTATATGTGTTGGCATACACAGCCCAGGAATAAGAGTTTCATTAAAGGAGAATAGATGTCATCCCAGTGGAAATATTATTAGAGTGTTTATAAAATGCGTTCATAAGTCTCAGTTCAATCGACTGAGTGAATAAAAAACCTGGCCGCTTGCTGACTGGAGAATGGACTCTCAGTTCATAGCTATAGGAGGATTCTTCCCGGGGTAAAACACAGCCATAATGGCTTATGGCAGCATGTAGAGGAGAAGTACCTTGTGGATACTCCTTGGTTGAAGAAAGGCTAAGAATACCACCCTGACAGAAATGTGCCCTCGCTGAGGCATTTGGCAATTAGCAGCTGTTCTTATTTGCTGCTTTCCGGCTGAAGCTACAACCATCAAGGCACCGAACATTTGAACTTGGTCTGGCCTTTGGATTCTGTCTCAATGGTCTAAAGGAGGGGCTGGTAGATCTTGGGCAGCCTCCACTTCTTCATGCTCTTGCCGGGGCATATGCATTGAAGGTCTTGGTGTGGTGGTTATAGGACTCTGTACAAGCGGATTCATCAGGAGCCTGACTAGACCTCTTACACGTACGCCATAAGCTAGAGGATCAACTGTTGCTTACTAGAGGAGATGAATCCTGACACACCTTCCAGTTGTGCCACTGGCCTCTTTCTGAACACTTCTCAAGGTGGTTACAGAGCACCAAGGGCTTCAGGCTTTCTGGTGTGTATAGGGTCAAATCATTAAAAGAGAATTTTAGTCATATATTTGACCAATTTCTGCATATATCTTTGAATGATGGCTTCACCTTTTCTCATCCACCCAGCACATGCTGATTTTCCCTGTGGGGCAGCCCAAAGCTGCAAGCACAGAGCAGAAAAAGTTGTGATGGGAACTGAACAGCAAAGATCTGAATAAATCAGAACCTGGGAATATTGTACCAAATTATCAGAATATTTCAGCGGGTTTCAAATCCTGAGTTTAAGGCTGCTGCTGGCTGATAAAAGAAATGAAAATCATGGGACGCCCCAAGGGGGTTCCTTTGTTTGGAGAGAGGTGAGAGATGGTTTTGCAGAGAGCCAAGACAGTGAGTGACTCAACATATAAATACATAGATTTTGAGGGCAAAAGATCAATAAATCATCCAGTCCGGCCACTTGTACACCACAGGCCATTAAATTCCATGTAGTTATCCTGTAGTGAGTCCAGCAACTTGCATTCAAGTAATGCATCTCTTCCTGTAAAGCATCCAGTTTTGCCTGGAAGGCATAGAGAGATGGAGAATAATGGAGCAGCATTTCCCTTGGGACTTGCTTCCAATGGTTAAATATCATAATTGATAAAAATTGTGCCTCATTTCTAATTTGCATTTATCTTGTTTCCAGTAACTGGTTCCTGTTCTGCTTCTGTGTGTTGCATTTCAGATGTAGCTATCTCCATTTCCTGGATTGTTAGTTTTATAATGTGTCTCCTGCTAATTCTTCTGATGTCACTTTGCATTTTTAAAGTGATCATTTGTATTGCCTGAATACATTTTAAAGAAGGCGTCCAGATTTGCAAAGCAAATGCAAGACATTTCCACAGCTTCTCTCTCCTACATCTCCATCAGTGCTTAAGCCTATGTCGAGATTGTCTTTGAGGAATTGGACCTCAACCAAGAGCTTGCATGAGCAGCTACACTGAAGTCAGGAGAGCTTCCACATCTGCAGTGTTAGCAGGAATTGGCAACTGTCATAACTTTGTTAGAAAGTATTTTTCAGAGTGGCAGAGTACAGTGGCCTACCCAGTCCCCAACATCTCTCTGGCCACTATTATTTCCAGGCTTTATACTGACCTAGATCCTCAGGAAGTACATGTCATCATCACTCCAGTGACTGCAATGGAGCTATGCTGATTTATTCCCTTTGGGGATTTGGCCTTCGAGTTTTTTCTTTCCTAGTCAGTAGTAGCACCCAGTGGCTCCCATATATTCCAGATTAGTCCAGGGGTGCGACTTAATTAATTGTTTATCTGTTGGGTGGAAGTAGGTGGTGAATTGGACATGTTGAATCATTACGACATCATAGTCCTGGAAATAAACCTATCTCACTGAGCAAGACCAATGGCTTTCTCAGCTGTAGTAGCATTTTACAAATGCTTCTCTCCTGGGAATTTCTTTGGAATATAATTTATGTCCTCAAGGCTTTTGTTTACTCCTCCCTGTCTTTAGAGTTTCCACCTGTGATTGCATTTCCCAGCAGGCTTTGGGCCTTGTTCCAGATCTTCAAGATCTGTTCTGCACAATAGCCCCCCTCCCCTTGGAAAGGCTGTTGATGGGAGACCCAAGGATTTCCCATCATCCCTTCTCTTGCAGTAGATTGTCAGTCTCACAGCACTAACTCCTAAAGTCATATCAAACAAGGCAAGTCAATATTTTACACGGATATCCCATGGGAAATGATTCCCTTATGCACGGAGGCTGAACTGGATGGGGAGTCTTGGGGACATCCAGAGCAAGACGCTAAGGCCCAGCACAAATTCGTATTTCAATGACAGTAGGTTATGGAGCTTCCCTATCTCATGATTGACACACCTGGGAGCACAACACACACACTGGGTGCTACATGTGATAGTGAGAAGGATTGAGACCAGCGCCACCAAGAAGAAGCAATGGATGATGGTGGTTGGAGGCTTCTTTCTGCAGGGGACAGAGGGATCCACCTGCTGACCTGACCTGTTATCTGAGGAAGTCTGCTGCTTGCCCGAAGCCCGGATCTGAGATGTCACAGAGGGGTTACCGAGACTCATCTGGACCTCTGACTATTACCCCATGCTGTTCGTCCATGTGGGCACAAATGATACTGCCAGGGGAGACCAGAAGGAAGTGGTGGATGAGGCTTTCTTCAAACAGCTAGTGGAAGTTTTCTGATCACAGACCCTGGTTCTCATGGGGGACTTCAATCCTCCTGACATTGCTGGGAGGGCATTACAGCAGTGCACAGGCAATCCAGGGAGTTTTTTGGAGAGTGTTGGGGGCAACTTCCTGGTGCAAGTGCTGGAGCGGCCAACTAGGGGCCATGCTCTTCTTGACCTGCTGCTCACAAACAGGAGGAATTGGTGAGGAATGTAGTAGTGGATGGCAACTTAGGCAGCAGCAACTACAAGATGATTAAGTTTAGGATCCTGAGTAAAGGAAGGATGGAGAGCAGCCAAGTAAGGACCCTTGACTTTAGAAAAGCAGACTTTGACTCACTCAGGGAACTGATGGGCTGGATCCCCTGGGAAGCCAGTCTAAGGGGGAGATGAGTTCAGGAGAGCTGGCTGTACTTTAAAGAAGTCTTACTGAGAGTGCAGGAACAAACCAACCTGACGTTCAGGAAGACTAGCAAGTGTGGCAGAAGACCAACTTGGCTTAGAAGGGAATCCTTCAGTAAGCTAAATCACAAAAAGGGAGCTTATAAGAAGTGGAAACTTGGACAAACAACTAGGGAGGAGTATAAGAGTATTGCTCGGGCATGCAGGGATGAAGTCAGGAAGGCCAAAGTGCAACTAGAGTTGCAGCTAGCAAGGGATGTGAGGGGTAACAAGAAGGGTTTCTACAAGTATGTCGGGAGCAAAAGGAGGATCAGGGAAAGTGTGGGTCCTTTACTGAACGGGGGGGGCAACCTTGTGACAGAGGATGCAGAACAGGCTGGAGTGCTCAATGCCTTTTTCACCTTAGTCTTCACAGATAAGGTCAGCTCCCAGACTACTGCACCAAGCAGCACAGTTTGGGGAGAGGGTGAGCAGCCAACAGCAGTGAAAGAACAGGTTAGGGATTATTTAGAAAAGCCGGACATATACAAGTCCATGGGGCTGGAGGGGATACACCTGAGGGTGCTGAGGGAATTGGTTGATGTGATTGCAGAACCACTGGCCATTGTCTTTGAAAGCTAATGGTGACTGGGAGAGGTCCCAGGTGATTGGAAAAGGGCAAACATAGCGCCCATATTTAAGAAAAAGAAAAAGGAGGATGCAGGAAACTACAGACTAATCAGCCTCACCTCTGTCCCTGGAAAAATCATGGCGCAGATCCTCAAGGAATCCATCTTGAAGCACTTGGAGGAGAAAAAAGGTGATTAGGAACAGACAGCATCAATTCACCAAGGGCAAGTCATGCCTGACAAACCTGATTGCCTTCTATGATGAGATGACTGGCTCTGTGGATGTGGGGAGATCAGTGGATGTGATATACCTTGATTTTAGCAAGGCTTTTGATACGGTCTCCCACAGCATTCTCACAGGCAAGCTAAAGAAGTACAGGCTGGATGGATGGATTGTAAGGTGGATAGAAAACTGGCTGGAGCATCAAGCTTAGAGGGTAGTAATCAATGGCTCGATGTCTAGTTGGCAGCTGGTATTAGTGGAGTGCCCCAGGGGTTGGTCCTGGGGCCAGTTTTGTTCAATATCTTCATCAACGACCTGGAAAATGGCATAGGGTTCACCCTTACCATGTTTGCAGATGATACCAAGCTGGGGAGAGTAGTAGATATGCTGGAGGGTAGGCCTAGGATTCAGACTGAATTATCCAAATTGGAGGATTGGGCCAAAAGGAATCTCATGAAGTTCAACAAGCACAAGTACAAAGTCCCGCACTTAGGACAGAAGAATCCCATGCACCAGCACAGGCTGGGGGCTGAGTGACTGGGCAGCAGCTCTGCAGAAAAGGACCTGGGGGTTACAGTGGCCAATAAGCTGACTATGAGCCAACAGCATGACCTTCTTGCCAAGAAGACTAATGGCATACTGGGCTGCTTTGGTAGGAATGTTGCCAGGAGGTGAAGGGAAGTAATTATTCTCCTCTCCTGGTGTGCCCACATCTGGAGTATTGTGTTCAGTTTTGGGCCCCCACTACAGAAAGGATGTGGACCAATTGGAGAGAGTCCAGCAGAGGGCAATGAAAATAGTTCGGGGGCTGGGGCATGTGACTTCTGAGGAGAGGCTGAGGGAACTGGGCTTATTTAGTCTGGAGAAGAGAAGACTGAGAGGGGGGATTTAATAGGAGGCTTCAATTAGCTGAAGGCGGGTTCAAAAGAGGATGGTGCTAGACTGTTCTCAGTGATGGCAGATGACAGAACAAGCAGTGATGGTCACAAGTTGCAGCAAGAGAAGTTTAGGTTGGATATTAGGAAGAATTTTCTCACTAGGAAGGTAGTAAAACACTGGAGCAGGTTACCCAGAGAGGAGGAGGACTCTCCATCCATGGAAGTGTTTAAGACCCAGCTGGACAAAGCTTTGGCTGGGATGATCTAGTTGGGACTGGTCCTGCTTTGAGCAGGGGGTTGATGCAACATTTCTTGAGAATTTGGTATGTAGTCATGACTCTCCATGATGAAACGAAAACTATGCTAAAAGAACTTGTGACTGTACAGTCTGGCTGGCTGGTAACATACTTCAGTAGGCATTTAGTGCTTTGTCTTTTGACCAAAATTAATCACAAATGACTCAGTTTGATGCTCACCCAGGGAGAGAAACTACCTTGCTGCATCTCAGCACAAATTCACAGGAACGTCAGGGGTGGAAAAGCATTTTTATTGCAAATACAGTGGTCATATGAGCTTATGACTCACTCTGAGGATCACATCCTGCTGGTAGGTCAAGGACTACTGAACTCCACAGAGGACTCAGAGGTGTGCTTTGCTGCCTCTGACTGACTTTTTTTGAATACTAACAGAGGGCAGAAGGGTGCTAGCTAACAAATGACTCCCAGGGAACAGTGGACAAGGGTATAGTCTTGGATCTGTTCTTATATCTGGCTTGGTTAGATAGCACGTGTCACCTGGAATACCATGTGCGTTAAACCCATCATTTTGAGGCCTGCCTTGCTCCTGCACCACCTCAGCCACACTATACCAACCTGCCCTACTGAAATGAACCCACAAGTAATCCATGCCAGGCTCAGCTTTCCCTTCCTAACACTATTCTTCTGATTGCAGGTTCCATGTATGAGGGTCTGGCTGATGGCTATGCTTATGGGACAGGCCGGGGCAGCTATTATGCCAAAAACCAGACAGGAAACGGCACCTGGGGATATCCGGTAAGATACTGTTTTATCTGTACTGTTGCATGCTGTTGTGTCAAAGATAGAGCAACTCACAGTCTGAGAGTCCACAGGGACCAATTCCTTCCTGCTCAACATGAACAAGCTGTGATGCCTCGGAAACAAGAATGAGGTGGACATTATACTTCCCCAGAGGTTTTAAAGCCATGTTGGGAGATGGAGGCGTCTTCTTCAAGAATGGAGGCAGGACATTGATAGGGAACACCACAGCCCTGGATATCAACAGTTCAGAACCCAGAGCAGCTTTTCTTATACTTCTGGATCTTTGGATTTTGAATACTTTGCAGGACCTTAAAATATAGTAGTCATTTCAGAGATAGGTGCAAGCTGCAGACTTATATCAGAAGTTGGGTCCAGTGTTTTGCTTCATTTTCACCTCTAGAAATAAGGGAGAGATTCAGTGACAGGAGAGTGGATGGTAAAATAATGGTACAGAATCCAGCATAGTCATGTGTGCTATTGTCCTCTAAAAAGTATGCGGCGAGCCTTTTCAGTGACTTAGCTATAGTGTAAAAGGTTGGCTTGGAGGAGCAGATGTTGATGCCTGGAGGAAGTTTAGGGGTCTGAAAGCTGCATTTCACAGGCCCTATTTTTCAGTCAAAGGAGTCCACTGCGAACTGGAGTGAATGCAGAATCAAATGTTATTAAAATTATCCAATAGGAATGTTGCTAGCAAATAAAGAATAACACAGCACATCTAGCTGTGCAGTCCAAATAGCAGTAAGCACTCTTACACATTAAATCTATATTGTGAAACTCATAAGAATTCCTAACAGGTAGCTAGCCTCTTGGGGAGATCTCCCCCAAATTCAGACACTTTGTTCTAAGAGGCTTTGCATCTTCATTACATCTGCAGACAGGAACATCAGGAAAGGATGCCAGAGGATCTCAAACAAAGGCTTACAACATTACTTGGTCATAATGAGATAAACATAGAAAGGGGATGTTCTTATGTCACACTGCGGTCAGGCTGAGCATACTGGGTGTGCCTGCATATGTGCTTTAATACACATTGGCATATTCTACTTCTATTCTATTAAAGCATCACAAAAAAACCCATGCTTTTTAGGTAATGCGCATTAAAATAAGCTAATGCACATTTTTCTAGTACCTCACAATGGAGGTACTAGATTTAATGCACATTACCTAAAGTGCATTAATGAACATGTAGACACACCCACTGACTTTCACTATTCAAGATCTGAGTTAGCCTTTCCTAGAAAGTGCTCTTGCTTGTGACCCAGTTCCTTTTATACTATTTCACTTGGCCTCACTTATGTTAACCTGGTGTAATGTAAACTTAACACAGCCTAAGGCCTACTAAAACTACTACCATGCAAGCTGAAAGAATTCAAATTTAACACAAAGGTCTAAACCAAGAGTCAACAACCTACAGATCTGGCCCTCAAAGGGGTCTGATCCAGCCCAGGAAGGTCTGACCTGGTCCAGGGTGGCACCGGGGTTTGGACAGCAGGCAGCTGTGCCTGGTCACCTGTCCCCTCCACATCATTCTGCTCTACAGCCCTCCCTGCTTCTTTCTTGTGCCTGTGCCCCTTGCAGCAGGGGGCAGAGGTATCTGCAGAATGGGTACACACAGGGAGACCTCTTTGAAGGGAGGGGTGGGGCAGAGATTGGCAGTCCAGACAGGGTCTGGGTCGCAAACTCCAGCTACAGGGGGCAAAAGGACAGCCAACTCTTAGTCTACACAGATCTCCTTTTGGCTTTGTTTTGGTTCCTCCTTTAGTGCTCACCAAGATTGCTATAAATGCTGTGTCTGTTGTCTGTTGAAGACCGAATCAAGGTCACAGTGACTGCTCAGATCTGTGCGTATGTCTCCTCCTCACCTCTGACCGATCTTCCCATCTTCTGTGACTTCTGCCAGTGGGTGATAAGGAAAGGGACAAAGAAGCAATTCTCATAGATTCATAGATTCATAGATGTTAGGGTTGGAAGGGACCTCAATAGATCATCGAGTCCGACCCCTGCATGGCAGGAAAGACATAGGCAGGAAAGTGTGCTGAGTTCAGATGACCCCAGCTAGATGGTTATCTAACCTCCTCTTGAAGACCCCCAGGGTAGGGGAGAGCACCACCTCCCTTGGGAGCCCATTCCAGATTTTGGCCACTCTAACTGTGAAGAAGTTCCTCCTAATGTCCAGTCTAAATCTGCTCTACCTGGGATTGAAATATATGGAAGCAAAAGAGGCTCTGCTGGCAGTACTGGAGATGATAATTTCAAGCCTCAGACAAATACTCTGTCAAAAATTTTCTCTTATTGTCCTCCCATTGAAGCAGTATGCTCCATTTGAATACAGAGTCATTCCTGTCCTGGCTGCGACCTCGAGACAAATGCCTGTGGTGGCTTTTCTGCTCTGGGTTAGAGGGTCAGCTTGCTTCCTGCCAGCCACTACCTCCCTTCCCGTTATGCCATCAGTGTTATTCAGCCACAGAGAAACTGGTTGTGGCATACGGTATTGGCCTAGATGATATGATCACATCCCTTGCTTGGGGCTGTTCTGTCACCAGACCACCACAACTGACATAATGTAATAGGTCACCTGTGAATGATTCTTGTTGCGCTCACATGCAAATGGTTAAGCACACTGTCTCCCAGTTAGAAGTAGCAGGAGGCTCTGGTACGTTCTGAAGTTTGCATTCTCTTTCTGTTGGTTTGGACTCTTTTGTCCCCAACCATTTTCCCTCTTTCTGACTACCCATATGTTCTTTATTATGTTCCCCCTATCAAGGGATAGGGGGACTCTGGCAGAACGTGACTATACAGGTGTTCTTCTTTAGCTCATGTGGCTCTGCTTTTGGTGGTAAAAGTCCAAGTTTCCATCCCCGCAGATGAGCTTGGAGACCTCAGTATAGTAGCTCTACACCAGATCAGGTGCATATGATCACTTCATGTGCTGGTGCAGTGGACAGTGTGATCTCAATTCACCAACAGCTCCTTGGCTGTGTACCACATAGTGGGTCTGAGAGAGACCATTGCAACTATTTTACACTCCTGCTGGTACTTTGCATTTCAGGTCTTTAAACATAGGTTGCAACCACTTCTCCAGCTTGGTGTTCAGAAGTCTGTTGACTGAAAGGCACTTGTCCATGCTATAGTTGTAGCAACTGGCTAGAACATCAGTGTCTGAAGGTATGTCTTGCTGTAGTCAGAGGTGTGACCGCAGTTCATGTACATATATGCTAGATTTAATTTTGATGATTTGGATACCAGTAGAGGTGCAGTACAGTTGAGGTAGTCTGGGGTTCAGCACAGGCTGCAAATTTTCCTGGGACCTAGAGTAAATCTTTGGGCAGCTCACCAGCATCGAGCTCTGTGCTGCGTGCCGTGATTCTGTAGTACTTGCAGTACTGAGCGAGCTAGCTAGGTGGCAGCTATCTTAGGTAGGTCTATATTGGACTTCAGTCACACCTTCAAAGGCAGCATGCTGTATCCTGACACAGATTGCTGCATGTGGAACCAGAATATCCTGCAATGAACAAAGAGCAAAGCCCTTTGAGGCCCAGGGTTTCCATCCTGGGCCAATGTAATTTTGCCTGTGAAGGCACTGGACTGTAGGGCTGCGTGAAACGGCTGTGTTTCAGTTTGGTTTCGGAGCACAGTGGTTCGTTTCGGTGTTTCGGATCACTGTCTTGTTTCATTTTGGCTGAATCTGTTTCGGAGATTCGGCTCTGCTGAATCTCCTTCAAATCTGTTTCGAATGGGATGCAAGCTTTGCACAGCCTTACTGTCCAGCCAGACAAGTCTTGGGGCCAGGGGCTGCAGGGCCCTAGCGGGGAGTAGGACAGGGCTGTGGGTGTCTTGTCCAGGGGAGGGGACCGCTGCACGGATCTCTGATCCCTGTCATGCCGAGTTGTGGGGCAGGAAAGCAGTGCAGAGCAGTGAGCAAGCCTGCTGGTCCCTGCCACACAACTCAGCTCCGTCTTTTGTAAGCAAAGCCTTTTCTGGAGACCAAAAGGCTTTGCTTACCAATGGCTGGAAACAGCCTTCTGCACTGGATTTAACTTTTGTCAGTAGAACTCGTGACTGGTCCTTCAAGAGGTGATCGAACGCCATAGCCCAATGAATATTTGACCTATCTGATGCTGCTGATTATTAGGGAGTTGCTAGTGCTGGATCTGACATTAGTTAGGTACATACCCTTTTGCAAACTGTACTGAGATCCCTGAGCATGTGTAAGTTGAAGGTACCAGCTTTCCCCCCAACCACGAGTGCCTCCATGCAGGATGTACTATCCACCTTAATCGTATCTCTGGCTACCATACATCATGGCCTGAACAAACACTGGAATCTGCCTTTGTTTCACCAGTCCTGCATTCTCCTTGGAAAAATCCCTCTGGTTTCAGTGGCAGCTAGGCCTGAACTGGGACTTCAAGGTCAAGTTCATTATTTGAGGCTACCAAAAGGATACTTTGAGCAATTTTATTAAAGAAAATAAGGAGTTTGATTCATTTCATGTAGCCACCAGCACAGGCACCCGAATCTATGTGTTGTACAGACTGCAAGATTTGTGTCGTTTAGATTAACGTTTTCTCGATGAGCTGCTCTCATACCAGATCAATGCTGCCTCTCAGCTTGCAAATAAAAAAAAAGGAAGAAGCTCATATAAAGGCAGTGTTCAGGAGGGCATGGGAAGGAGGGTTTCAGAAGTGGAGGGACATTATTTCTGCTGGTTTTGCAGTTTTCCCTCTTGTAAAGCAGTGTGTGGAACAGGCAACAGCGACTGTATTTCGCAAGCTGGATCAAGGGTGTTCACCACCCATCACTCAGGGTGGGACGCTGTCATGTTTCATTGCTTTTGCTTTTCCCTCCGGCCTGGGAGAGACTTGCTCTTACATGTTTGTATGCAAGCTTTCCCTTCTTGCTGTCTGCAGCTCTTGAAACAAAAAACAATTACTAGGGGAAAAAAATTGAACTGGCTAATAACATGTTCCCTAGATGCAGAATTCAGAGATAGCCAG